ACTGAGACCCCGACTGAGTTTATTTGTGGAAATTGATCCGAGGGCCTTCAAAAGGGGGGCATGTGGCCCGCAGGCCGCCAGTTGCACATCCCTGCCCTAAGAGTTGTGCAAAGTTGGTAGAATATTATTCAAAATGATTCACAGCTGTAATGGCTGCCTAAGGTGCTTCCATCAAGTATTAACTCTGGGGTGTGAAGAAAAAAATTAAATAATGTTTTATTAATTATGAACATTTTCTATAACTTTCCTTCACTTTGGAAATGTGGAGTAGGTTGTGTAGATCTGTAGAGAGACAACTGTTATTTTTCTTTAAAAAATAAAAACTTTTTGAATATGGAGACAAAAGACTGTGAGACGGGTAAAATTCTAGATACATGGAAAGTGGGATGTATACGGAGGGTGCGGGGCAACAGAAGGCGAACAGCAGAGGGGCTAAGGACCTTAGAGATGGGGAAAGGGCTGATAAAACAGGGGGAAAGTTTGCGGGACTCCACCCGGAGGGGCAGATCCCGAGTGGAAAGCCATATCCTCTGCCCAAGATGGTAGTGAGGAGCAGGGGTCCGGTGGCGGTCCACCTGTCGTCGATACCTGGAGGTGGTCTTGAGAAGAGCGGCCCGGGCTCTCTTCCAGGTACGGCGACAGCTACGGACGAACATCTGGGAAGAAGGTATGCTGACCTCTTGCTCCGGGAAGAGCGGGGGCTGATTCCCAGGGAACACTTAAAAGGCGAGAGACCAGTAGCAGAACAGGGAAGGGTGTTGCGGGCATATTCCACCCACACGAGTTGCTGGCTCCTGGTGGTGGGATTGGTGGAGACGAGGCAACAAAGAGTTGTCTCCAGGTCCTGACTGGCTCGCTCCGACTGGCCGTTAGACTGGGGATGAAAACCAGAGGACAGGCTGGCCGACGACCCAATGAGGGTGCAGAACGCCTTCCAGAACCGGGATGAGAACTGTGGACCGTCATTGGAGACCATGTTGACCAGAAGTCCATGGATCCGGAAGACGTGCTGCACCATGAGCTGGGCCGTCTCCTTAGCTGAGGGAAACTTAGGAAGGGGGATAAAATGGGTGGCTTTGGAAAACCTATTCACCACCGTAAGGATGGTGGTGTTGCCCTCTGACGGAGGGAGACCTGTGACGAAGTCCAAGGATATATGGGACCAGGGGCTGTGAGGAACAGGGAGTGGTTGAAGGAGGCCAGCCGGAGCTTGCCGCGGAGTGTTGTTCTGCGCACACACAGTGTAGGTGGCAATGAACGCAGAGACATCAAGAACCATGGTGGGCCACCAAAAATGTTGTCGGACGAAAGCCAAGGTCCGATGGGAGCCAGGATGACAGGTGAGTCTTGAGGACTGGAGCACGGGCAGAGTCCGGGACAAACATCAGGGGATCACTGCGCCTGGCGGACCAGACGCTCTATTCTGCAGATGATAGCAGCCGCTAGACAGGAAGTAGGGAGGATGGTCTCAGGGTCCGATGGTGTAGTAGCGGGGCTGTACAGATGTGAGAGTTCGTCAGGCTTCACATTCTTGGACCCCGGGCGGTAGGAGATAGTGAAATGGAAACGAGTGAATAACAGGGCCCATCTCGCCTGCCTGGAGTTGAGGCGCTTGGCGGTGTGGAGATATTCCAGGTTCTTGTGGTCGGTCCACACCAAGAATGGGTGTTCCGCCCCTTCTAACCAGTGCCTCCACTCCTCCAACGGCATCTTGACTGCGAGTAATTCTCGATATCCTACGTCATAGTTCCTCTCAGCAGGGTTAAGACGATGGGAAAGGAAGGCGCAGGGATGCAGCTTCTGGTCCTGGGCAGAACGCTGGGAAAGGACAGCTCCCACTCTGATGTCCGAGGCGTCATCCTCCACCCCAAACTGATGGGATGGGTCAAGATGGATTAGGATGGGAGCTGAAGTGAATCGCTGCTTGAGGTCTGAGAAAGCCCGGTCAGCTGCTGGAGACCATATGAACGGAACCTTGGGAGAGGTGAGTGCAGAGAGGGGGGAAGCAAGGGTGCTGTAACCCCAGATGAAACAACGGTAGAAATTAGCAAACCCCAGGAAACGTTACATCTGCACTCTGGATGTGGGTTGAGGCCAATCCACCACCGCTCTCACTTTGTCAGGGTCCATCTGAATATTCCCTGCAGCGATGACTTATCCTAGGAAGGAGATGGTGGAGCGATGGAACTCACATTTCTCTGCCTTCATGAAAAGCTGGTTCTCCAGGAGACGCTGGAGAACCTGTTCGACATGGAGAACGTGCTCTTGAGCTGACTGGGAATAAATGAGGATGTCGTCGAGGTAGACAAACACAAATCGGTTCAACATGTCACGGAGCACATAATTGACCAGGGCCTGGAACACTGCTGGAGCGTTGGTCAGTCCGAACGGCATCACCAGGTTCTCGTAGTGCTAGTCATGTTGAATGCTGTCTTCCACTTGTCACCTTCCCATATCCGAACAAGATGGTAGGCGTTCTGAAGGTCCAATTTGGTGAAGATGACCGCACCCTGGAGAGACTCAAAAGCTGAGGAGTTGAGTGGTAGCGGGCAATGGTTTTTAACCATAGTGTCATTAAGACCCCGGTAGTCGATACACAGACGCTGGGTCTTGTTCTTCTTCTCCACAAAGAAGAACCCTGCACTGGCAGGGGAAGCAGATGGACGCATAATCCCTGCAACAAGAGAGTCCTCAACGTACCCTTCATTGCTTTGGTCTCCGGACCCGACATGGAATAAAATTGCCCCCGAGGCATTGCAGTTCCCGGGAGAAGGTTGATTGCGCAGTCGTAGGGCCGATTCGGAAGAAGAGATGTGGTGCGGGCCTTGCTGAAAGCCTCCCACAGGGCCTGGTACTCAGCGGGAATGGCGGAGAGGTCTGATGCTTCTTCCGAGCCCACAGGAACACGTCCCGGGGCAGGCTGCATCGACTTCAGGCAATGGGCATGGAAAAACGACTCCAACCTATGATGGAACCCGTAGCCCAGTCGATTAGGGGGTTGTGCCTCTGGATCCATGAAAACCCCAAAACCATGGGTACATGAGGAGACTCCAGGAGCAGAAACTGCATAGCCTCACTGTGGTTGCCTGACACTCGTAGGTTGATAGGAACCGTATTGTGAGTCTCCCGGCAGGTTCCAGATTCTCCAGCGTAGCACTCTGGACCAGGTAAGCGATGTACTCGGGACACTGGGGTAGGCTGGGAAGAAGCGCCACTGGTGGCAGGGTTGCTGAGAGTCTGGGGGGTTACTGTTGTGGCTTGCTGCCTAGTTGGGAATCTGCGGAATTGCTCCAGCAATGTATTGAAGACATAGTCATGGCGTTCTGCCAGGGTATGGAGTCCCTCCATAAGAGGGTCTTATACACTCTTGACACGCTTGTGCTTTGTACCATACCGATAAGGATCCAAGGAGGGGAGCTTTTGAGCTACAGCTCTCTGTAGCTAATGCCTGTGGACAACTTCAGTGGTAGGAGAGAAAGTACATAGTATAGGTCTATCAAAAGCTTTCAGCATTGGATTGTCTATCAAAAACATTTAAGCTATGCATGTATTATTATGTTTATCATGCTAAACCTGCCTCATATAACCATTTTTCATTCTAAAGTTTCAGGAATGAAACCGTATCAAAACCCATACAATTTTATGGGCCTCCTGAGTGGCGCAGCGGAATAAGGCACTGCATCGCAGTGCTTAAGGCATCACTACAGACCCGGGTTCGATCCCAGGCTGTGTCACAACCGGCCTTAACCGGGAGTCCCATAGGGCGGCACACAATTGGCCTAGCGTAGTCCGGTTAGGGGAGGGTTTGGCCAGGGGGGCTTTACTGTGATCAGTGTTAATTCCTGATAGTTGCTGGTTGAAAATACATTCTACACAGGACCTTTTAATCAGCGGGTTTGAATGGGCGGAAGTTTCGGTTTTCCATCGAGACGTCACCATGCCGTAAATTGGTTAATAGACCAAATAACAAAGAGTTCCAAAACTATCTGCCAATAACAGCTATTTATCAGTTTTCCCCTTCCCACTCAGACCACTCCCAGACAGTCCTAGCTAAATTCTTGCTTGAGAACTAGTTTTTTGCAAAAAAGTTATTTTGGCCCATTTTAATGGAAATCTATTAAAGAAAGGTACTTAATTGTTACCCAGAAATGATTTGATATTGATTTTTAAAAAGCTGCATTGTGCCTTTAAAGCTAAAGACTTTCACAAAATGCAATAATGAACCTTAATGAACCTTAAGTGCTATGCACTTAACTTTACCATACTGTACCATATGTTTTTAATGAATCACTCTACAGGTCTGGTGATGAAACAAACAAACTGCTTCCTGTAACACCAGTATAGATCATGTTACGTAACATTGTTCCTAGTTTGAGTTTATTCTATTTCAATTCTAGTTCAAATCTTCCCTTTTCACCATGTTGTGTTTTTCTTAGATTTAACTGAACAAGAGAGAGGAAATTGTGCAAGCTGCTGTTTCAATGTCAGAATATGCTGTGCTCCTTCACTTTGTCTGGAGTTGTTTCTCAGATATTGGTGGAACCAGAGTTGAATGTCAGTATATGGACCACATTATGGTTATTCAGTGGTGGATCCTGTTATGCATATCAGGGCATTCTGCTGAGGGTGAGTTCAGTTTTTACTGTATGTATTTCATCATCATTATTTTGTTGCTCTGAATATTTTGTTTAAAACTCTACATGCAGAATATTTCATTCAAAACCCAAATATCTGGGACAAGCAATTTAAATGTATACTGTATTAAAGGATTACATGATGGACAATATAGACAGTTTCTACGACTATCAGAGGGAAACTGGTATACGGATGAGACTTTGAAAACCTATTCTCTAATTTGAATTGGTTGTCCTTGATTTTGAAAACAAATAAGGGGCTTTAAACCAGATTCACAATAAATAATATGTACATTTTGTAACTGTTATGGGGTGAATTGAAACTGTTATTTGACCAGATCTGTGTCTCATTGTCCACACACAGTGATGAAGAGGAGCGTCTTCTTTTTCTCTGGTCAGACAGAGAGTGTGCATCTATCTGTGTCAGACCTGGTTCAACAGTCTGTGTCAGACCTGGTTCAACCTCACTGGTCAGAGTTCAGCTGGGAGTGGACCTCACATGATGGGAGATATTCAGATATTCGAATAACCAGAGCAATATCCTCTATGCTAGTGGTCAGTCCACCTTTCACAGAGTACTTTTCCCGCAGCAATGACTATGATGTAACAGTGAAGCCGAAGTTTGAATGTGCAGGGGTGTTTTTGTTTGTAAGAACAAATGTCCCATTGGCTCAGATTGAGATCTTCGCCACAAAAGGTACGTAAATACTGTGTCTGTTTAGTCAGACAAGCCATTGTGAATCTTCCATAATGACAAAATAGCTTCTAGTGATGAAATAGTTTCGAAAGTCAGCTTCCGGCATTACCCTAATTTCTTCACCGATAGTACGTTTATATTGTAATCATTTTTAAATTGCATGTTTTTTCAGTCACACCTTCCTTTTGGCCTTCATTTCGTCTGGGTTCTGATGTGAGTATTAGTTGCGAGGTGTCCAGCCTACCAGAAGGGGCCACACTGCAGTGGGAAAGAGAGGGAGATCCCACTTCTAACACCACGATGTTCTACAACAACACTGCCCACATGGTCATCCACAGTGTTGATCAGGACAGTCAGGGGACATACTACTGCACTTTTAAACAGAATGGAACACTGTTATATAGTGTTTCTAATGCTGTCAGAACTGAGAAAGGTACAACATGTGTTCTTATCTAACTGAAATATCAAAACCTTTATGTGAAACATGAATGTTGTCCTCTTGATCAGTAGTCATTGACAATCAATAATGTTGGTCTCATATTAAATGGTTAAACGGTGATCACATTTGTTACATTTACAATAAGACTTAGGATTTAAATGAAATTAAACCTTCCCCTCTGACTGAACACTGCTATGGTTTTCTCCACAGTTTCGTCCGATGCCACTCTCACAATGTACAGAGAGAGCGCCAACAGCTCTCTGGTGACACTGCTTTGTAAGACATCAGATGGGTACACCCATGCATCATGGTCCTGGACACCACTATCTACAGCTAAAGAGGTTCACGTTGTGACAACTGCAATGTACGGATCCAATGACACGTTTAATGAGAGATTTTCATCCGGGGACTTCAATAGATACTACTTCCGTCTCTACATCTCACCGGTGAAGTTCGAAGATGGTGGGAAGTTCAACTGCTATTTTGAAAACCTCCTAGTTGCCTCTATTAATGTGGTAACCATAAAGGGTGAGCATTATCATTTTAAATATCCAAGATGCATTTTTCAGAATAAACTACTTTTACTTATATTTGAGAGAAGAGATTAAAGATCCCCAATGATTTTCAGTCTCTGCAGTGCCCCCTAGTGGATCCCCCAGGAATCATCAGGTGGTCCTGAGGTGTGAGGTGTCGGAGGTGAGCGGTGACCCTGTGACCCTGGCTTGGCTGAGGATGGAGGGGAGCAGGGGGCTGCTGGTCAAACAGGACGTCCTGACAGAGACTCGTCTCAACCGCACGCTCAGTGTGACCCTGCCCAGCCTCCGTAGGGACCAGCTGCACTGGCAGTGTGTTGTGTTCACAGAGGGCATCCTCAGAGCAACAGCCTCCCTGACTCTCACACTACCTACACTGACAACAATGTCTTCAATGACAGGTAACAACCTGTTATGATAGGCTCTCTTCAATTTGACCCAATCTGTTCCAACCTATCTCAATCCAAACTAATTATGCCGCACTGGACCTCTGCTTTCCAATGGCATAAGCCTACTGTAACAAAATAAATAGGTTACCATGCTTGAGAGGTTGCCATGTGTAATATAATCTAACAGAAGTCTCTGTTTCTTAGGGATGGGCACCGAGACAGTGGTCAGAGGGGTGATTACAATGGCTGCCACCCTAGGAGTTTTCGGATTTCTCGGCTTCTACTGTCGTAGACCAAACGGTAAGGAGACACTTCCTCTTGGATAGACTCTCCATAAAAAAGGAATCCAACCCAATCCCAAAGGAATGGGACATTGAGGCACCATCTAAAATGACTGTGTTAGACAGTACTTATCTTTCTCTTTCATTTGGGACCGAGGCAGAGCTAGCCTTCATATGGGACATGGATCCATCTCCACATTAAAGTGCTTTTAAAGTCTCCAAACATATGAACAACTTTTTTGATTTTGTAGTGAACTACAACTTAAATTAACATTATGAAGTAACATACATGATAGTCTTTCATAAGTACTGAGTGGAAAACTAGTGAATTAGTGTGTGTAAAGGACATCATTGCATACTCTTCTGGTTGATGTGTTGGTGTGTCTTCCATCCAGGTACCCAGACACAGAGACAAAGGAAGGAACCTGCTCAACTGGAGGAGACTAGTGTATAGCCTTGTTGCTAGCCTATGGCCTGTGGCAGTGTTAAAATATAGCTTTGCCACCCATGTCTGTAGTAACCAGTGATGTCTTTCACACTGAATTACCACATGACACACTGTGTTCGGTCAAAAGGTCAGGCAATGGAAACTTCAACAGTGTTAAAATAATGTGTTAACCACCAACATCCTTCCCCTCAAAGACTAATATTGAAAACATGACCATGTTATGATACTGTAAGCATCTTTCCTAAACACCTAAATAATTTACACTGAGTGTACAAAACATTAGGAACACCTGCTCTTTCAATTACAGACTGACCAGGTGAATCCAGTTGAAAGATATGATCCCTTATTGATGTCACTTGTTAAATCCACTTCAATCAGTGTAGATGAAGGGGAGGAGACAGGTTAAATAAGGATTTTTAAACCTTGAGACATGTATTGTGTGTGTGTGTGCCATTCAGAGGGTGAATGGGCAAGACAAAATATTTAAGTGCCATTGAACGGGGGTATGGTAGTAGGTACCAGGCGCACCGGTTTGTGTCAAGAACTGCAACTCTGCTGGGGTTTTCACGCTCAACAGTTTCCCATGTGTATCAAGACTGGTCCACCACCCAAAGGACATCCAGCCAACTTGACACAACTGTGGGAAGCTTTGGAATCAACATGGGCCAGCATCCCTGTGGAACGCTTTCGACACCTTGTAGAGTCCATTGCTCGATGAATTGAGGCTGTTCTTAATGTTTTTACACTCAGTGTATATTATTTAGTTAATCTTAGAAATGTAAGTTTCCATTCATCCTCAGTCTGTAATGTTTGTTCACAATAAATAGTGATGTTAATACTAGCTTGGCAACAGTGTCTCAGCTTATTTTACCATCTAATTTTCCTGTATTAGGAAAGCTGTTAGTAATAGAGAACTTTAAAGGGTCTGTTGCAAGAGACTGGTCATAATGTAGAAAGTTCCTGTTTTTTGTTTTGAAAGCCTTTGGTTGCATTTAGACACCATGGTCTTTGGAATTCCCCATAATTCACCAACTGTTATTTGCTTCAAAAGGAACATTTTACATTTAGATTTAAGTCATTTAGCAGACGCTCTTATCCAGAGCGACTTACAAATTGGTGCATGTCATGCTTCCATATTAATTATAATATCTGTAACATGCTTTTAATAATACTACTTCTATTATTTTAATTGCACAGCATTTACATTATATTCTGCTACATTTTGCTAAACTGTGACATGTTTGACCATTGTTTTGATCCCATTGATGCCTATAATGATGGTTGAGTGTCAGGCGACTTTTGATCATTTAACCCTTAATCCTACTCCTTAATCCCTGCCTGCTACATACAGTATAGGGTGGATACAAGTAAAGTGAGATTTTATGAAGTACTATATCCTCAGATGCGCAGTCATTTTAAATTGCATCACATCTGTAGTGTTTGAACTTCTTCTTTTCTTCAGTTCCTGAACATATTTATCAGGATGTCAGTAATGATATGAGTTGGCTACTGAGTAGAGAGTAGGGGAACAGAACAGCAAGATACAGCAACATGGGGGAGTGCAGAGGCTCTATGGGTGTAACGTTGTTGTGGATCATGCTGTGGATATCTAGATACTGTCAAGGACTCTCAGCTGAACGTGAGTAATGTGTTTCTGGTTGAATTATTTGTCATAAAATACTCACCTTTTAAAGAGGCAATCTGCAGTTGTTACATCCATTTTGAGACCTTTAAATTATGATATACACCAGCATAGCCACGGGAAGTAGTTTGAGGGTGGGGTGCTGTACATTTTGTTGCCAATGGGGGAGTGGGGGAGGGGCTGAGCATGTTTTGTCAAGGGGGTTGCAGACGGATATATACTCTAATACAGGACTATTAAAGGCCGGGGGGGGGGCATTGATTTTGTTAGTCAGTCTCACTCAGATATCACATTAAAAACTGCAAACATTTATCTTCACCTTATGGCAAAATGTGTAGAATTGCAAGAAATTCGTTTTAAAAAATCAGCATTTTCTCTGTGACCCATGGCAAAATGTGTAGAATTGTACGAAATTAACCCAACTAAAAAAAACATCTCTCTGCTGTCAAGAGGGGGGCTGCTAAAATGTTTTGTTCACTATGTGGTGGGGGGTGGAGGGGTATGCACATGTAGCTATGCAGACTCGTGAGCAACTGCGGCCCCTCATGATGAGTTCAGAGTTTTTGTGGCCACCACCCCATCAAAGTTGCCCATCCTTGATATACACCCATTGATTCTTGAAGAATATAACTGCCTTATGAGCTTAGTTCAACTGTTGTACTCCATCAGAATCCCATTATATAAGCTGTAAACAATGTAAATGTAAACAAAAAATGTATAAATATCTCCAGGCCCGTCCCTTAGCTGTTTACCAAATCAGTAGCAGGTTAACTGCTTTGTTGTTGTTCTAACAGCAGATTGCCCCTTTAAAGCATGACATACAAGTAGGATGAAGCTATTGAGGAGTCATCTGAGAAAGAGAGCGAGATAAAATTTGAGATTTGAACAGTGAATAATATTAATATAAAGATATTTTGCAGCTTTTTATCCTATCGTTTTGAATATCTTCCCTCCACAGAATTGTCAAAGAAGATATTTTTCCTTGAGGAGACCAGTAACAGAGTCACTCTCCCAGTTTCCCCTGCAGTTCCAAAAGGGACAGCGCACCAATGGATATGGACCTCACATGATGGCAGACACTCAAACACTTCAGTAGCCCAAATCACTTCACCCATGAATAGAAAGCCTTCATCGAACAGACAGGATCCTATCTCACAAGGAACCGGATATGATCTTTCCATCCAAACAATATTTGAAAATGCTGGAGAGTTTGTGTTCATGCAAACCAAACCAGCTTTAGCAGTTCTGGCAAGATTTGAGGTGTTTAGTTTTGTGTCTAAAGGTATGTTGGACATGTTCAATTTCTCAATGGGTATCATTTCAATCATTTTTAAATATCAATGTATATCGCCTTGTCAATATCAGAATAAGAGCCAAAATGTTGCTGTTGTAATCATTTCATTATTGATTATCAAGCATTTTAGATTTAGAAAAATGTAAACCGCTGATTTCCACTTTTTCCCTCGTTTTATCTTCTTTTAACAAATTGAAGTAAAGTAATGGATATCTCCTTTTTGCAGTGACACCAATTGATAATCAAGTGTATCTTGGTTCTGATGTTAGTGTGCGTTGCGAGGTGTCCAGCCTACCAGAAGGGGCCACACTGCAGTGGGAAAGAGAGGGAGATCCCACTTCTAACACCACGTTGTTCTACAACAACACTGCCCACATGATCATCCACACTGTTGATCAGAATTACCGGGGAAGATCCAACTGCAATTTCAGACTGAATGGAGAATTGTTGTTTACTGTTTATACTAAACTGAATGTGCAAACAAGTAAGATTTATTAACATTAATGTAATATATTAATACATGAATTGACCAAATAATTTGTTCAGGATTAAATATTCAGGAATATTGTCCTCAATAATACAAAGAAAAGAGTGCACTATACAGGCAAACAATTATCATCAGCATTTTCCCTTTAATGTTTTTTGTTTATTTTTTCCAGACACATATAGTAGACCATTATTAATACATTTGTTTCGAGAGAGCAGCAACAGCAGTGAGGTGAACTTGATCTGCAGGTCTATCTCCACATACCACAGAGCCGAATGGACCGTGACCAAATCAACAACATCTGTTACTTTGACTTCATATAATACAGAGTCATTGGACAAGGTCAGAAGAGACCGATTCTCATCTCCTCCGTTCAACGGATATGATTTCCCACTGCATGTCTCACCAGTGACATTTGAGGATGGTGGAATGTTCACATGTTTCTTTAATGGCCAAATATTCGGCTCGGTTAAACTCACAACCATTCGAGGTAACTTTGCTTTTGTCTTTTAACAATGAGAGAGCAGACACTCTGTTCACGTACACTGTTGGTTACTATGACAACCATACACTTTTCATTTAATCATTGAATTATTCAGCTGTTCAGTACATTGTTACAGTATACTGCTCTTTCAGAGGTCAAAGTATAGTACAGGACTGTTTTCTGTTCTTTATCTTAGTATCTGAATCTGGAGGGCCCCCTGGTGGCCAGCCGGTTGTGCTGAGGTGTGAGGTGTCGGAGGTGAGCGGTGACCCTGTGACCCTGGCCTGGATGAGGATGGAGGGGAGCAGGGGGCTGCTGGTCAAACAGGACATCCTGACAGAGAGTCACCCCAACAGGACGCTCAGTGTGACCCTGCCCAGCCTCTGCAGAGACCAGCTGCACTGGCAGTGTGTTGTGTTCACAGAGGGCATGCTCAGAGCGACAGCCTCCCTGACCCTCACACTCCCCACAAACACAACAATGTCTTCAATGACAGGTAACAACCTGTTATGATAGGCTCTCTTCAATTTGACCCAATCTGTTCCAACCTATCTCAATCCAAACTAATTATGCCGCACTGGACCTCTGCTTTCCAATGGCATAAGCCTACTGTAACAAAATAAATAGGTTACCATGCTTGAGAGGTTGCCATGTGTAATATAATCTAACAGAAGTCTCTGTTTCTTAGGGATGGGCACCGAGACAGTGGTCAGAGGGGTGATTACAATGGCTGCCACCCTAGGAGTTTTCGGATTTCTCGGCTTCTACTGTCGTAGACCAAACGGTAAGGAGACACTTCCTCTTGGATAGACTCTCCATAAAAAAGGAATCCAACCCAATCCCAAAGGAATGGGACATTGAGGCACCATCTAAAATGACTGTGTTAGACAGTACTTATCTTTCTCTTTCATTTGGGACCGAGGCAGAGCTAGCCTTCATATGGGACATGGATCCATCTCCACATTAAAGTGCTTTTAAAGTCTCCAAACATATGAACAACTTTTTTGATTTTGTAGTGAACTACAACTTAAATTAACATTATGAAGTAACATACATGATAGTCTTTCATAAGTACTGAGTGGAAAACTAGTGAATTAGTGTGTGTAAAGGACATCATTGCATACTCTTCTGGTTGATGTGTTGGTGTGTCTTCCATCCAGGTACCCAGACACAGAGACAAAGGAAGGAACCTGCTCAACTGGAGGAGACTAGTGTATAGCCTTGTTGCTAGCCTATGGCCTGTGGCAGTGTTAAAATATAGCTTTGCCACCCATGTCTGTAGTAACCAGTGATGTCTTTCACACTGAATTACCACATGACACACTGTGTTCGGTCAAAAGGTCAGGCAATGGAAACTTCAACAGTGTTAAAATAATGTGTTAACCACCAACATCCTTCCCCTCAAAGACTAATATTGAAAACATGACCATGTTATGATACTGTAAGCATCTTTCCTAAACACCTAAATAATTTACACTGAGTGTACAAAACATTAGGAACACCTGCTCTTTCAATTACAGACTGACCAGGTGAATCCAGTTGAAAGATATGATCCCTTATTGATGTCACTTGTTAAATCCACTTCAATCAGTGTAGATGAAGGGGAGGAGACAGGTTAAATAAGGATTTTTAAACCTTGAGACATGTATTGTGTGTGTGTGTGCCATTCAGAGGGTGAATGGGCAAGACAAAATATTTAAGTGCCATTGAACGGGGGTATGGTAGTAGGGACCAGGCGCACCGGTTTGTGTCAAGAACTGCAACTCTGCTGGGGTTTTCACGCTCAACAGTTTCCCATGTGTATCAAGACTGGTCCACCACCCAAAGGACATCCAGCCAACTTGACACAACTGTGGGAAGCTTTGGAATCAACATGGGCCAGCATCCCTGTGGAACGCTTTCGACACCTTGTAGAGTCCATTGCTCGATGAATTGAGGCTGTTCTTAATGTTTTTACACTCAGTGTATATTATTTAGTTAATCTTAGAAATGTAAGTTTCCATTCATCCTCAGTCTGTAATGTTTGTTCACAATAAATAGTGATGTTAATACTAGCTTGGCAACAGTGTCTCAGCTTATTTTACCATCTAATTTTCCTGTATTAGGAAAGCTGTTAGTAATAGAGAACTTTAAAGGGTCTGTTGCAAGAGACTGGTCATAATGTAGAAAGTTCCTGTTTTTTGTTTTGAAAGCCTTTGGTTGCATTTAGACACCATGGTCTTTGGAATTCCCCATAATTCACCAACTGTTATTTGCTTCAAAAGGAACATTTTACATTTAGATTTAAGTCATTTAGCAGACGCTCTTATCCAGAGCGACTTACAAATTGGTGCATGTCATGCTTCCATATTAATTATAATATCTGTAACATGCTTTTAATAATACTACTTCTATTATTTTAATTGCACAGCATTTACATTATATTTTGCTACATTTTGCTAAACTGTGACATGTTTGACCATTGTTTTGATCCCATTGATGCCTATAATGATGGTTGAGTGTCAGGCGACTTTTGATCATTTAACCCTTAATCCTACTCCTTAATCCCTGCCTGCTACATACAGTATAGGGTGGATACAAGTAAAGTGAGATTTTATGAAGTACTATATCCTCAGATGCGCAGTCATTTTAAATTGCATCACATCTGTAGTGTTTGAACTTCTTCTTTTCTTCAGTTCCTGAACATATTTATCAGGATGTCAGTAATGATATGAGTTGGCTACTGAGTAGAGAGTAGGGGAACAGAACAGCAAGATACAGCAACATGGGGGAGTGCAGAGGCTCTATGGGTGTAACGTTGTTGTGGATCATGCTGTGGATATCTAGATACTGTCAAGGACTCTCAGCTGAACGTGAGTAATGTGTTTCTGGTTGAATTATTTGTCATAAAATACTCACCTTTTAAAGAGGCAATCTGCAGTTGTTACATCCATTTTGAGACCTTTAAATTATGATATACACCAGCATAGCCACGGGAAGTAGTTTGAGGGTGGGGTGCTGTACATTTTGTTGCCAATGGGGGAGTGGGGGAGGGGCTGAGCATGTTTTGTCAAGGGGGTTGCAGACGGATATATACTCTAATACAGGACTATTAAAGGCCGGGGGGGGGGCATTGATTTTGTTAGTCAGTCTCACTCAGATATCACATTAAAAACTGCAAACATTTATCTTCACCTTATGGCAAAATGTGTAGAATTGCAAGAAATTCGTTTTAAAAAATCAGCATTTTCTCTGTGACCCATGGCAAAATGTGTAGAATTGTACGAAATTAACCCAACTAAAAAAAACATCTCTCTGCTGTCAAGAGGGGGGCTGCTAAAATGTTTTGTTCACTATGTGGTGGGGGGTGGAGGGGTATGCACATGTAGCTATGCAGACTCGTGAGCAACTGCGGCCCCTCATGATGAGTTCAGAGTTTTTGTGGCCACCACCCCATCAAAGTTGCCCATCCTTGATATACACCCATTGATTCTTGAAGAATATAACTGCCTTATGAGCTTAGTTCAACTGTTGTACTCCATCAGAATCCCATTATATAAGCTGTAAACAATGTAAATGTAAACAAAAAATGTATAAATATCTCCAGGCCCGTCCCTTAGCTGTTTACCAAATCAGTAGCAGGTTAACTGCTTTGTTGTTGTTCTAACAGCAGATTGCCCCTTTAAAGCATGACATACAAGTAGGATGAAGCTATTGAGGAGTCATCTGAGAAAGAGAGCGAGATAAAATTTGAGATTTGAACAGTGAATAATATTAATATAAAGATATTTTGCAGCTTTTTATCCTATCGTTTTGAATATCTTCCCTCCACAGAATTGTCAAAGAAGATATTTTTCCTTGAGGAGACCAGTAACAGAGTCACTCTCCCAGTTTCCCCTGCAGTTCCAAAAGGGACAGCGCACCAATGGATATGGACCTCACATGATGGCAGACACTCAAACACTTCAGTAGCCCAAATCACTTCACCCATGAATAGAAAGCCTTCATCGAACAGACAGGATCCTATCTCACAAGGAACCGGATATGATCTTTCCATCCAAACAATATTTGAAAATGCTGGAGAGTTTGTGTTCATGCAAACCAAACCAGCTTTAGCAGTACTGGCAAGATTTGAGGTGTTTAGTTTTGTGTCTAAAGGTATGTTGGACATGTTCAATTTCTCAATGGGTATCATTTCAATCATTTTTAAATATCAATGTATATCGCCTTGTCAATATCAGAATAAGAGCCAAAATGTTGCTGTTGTAATCATTTCATTATTGATTATCAAGCATTTTAGATTTGGAAAAATGTAAACCGCTGATTTCCACTTTTTCCCTCGTTTTATCTTCTTTTATCAAATTGAAGTAAAGTAATGGATATCTCCTTTTTGCAGTGACACCAATTGATCGTGTTAATCAAGTGTATCTTGGTTCTGATGTTAGTGTGCGTTGCGAGGTGTCCAGCCTACCAGAAGGGGCCACACTGCAGTGGGAAAGAGAGGGAGATCCCACTTCTAACACCACGCTGTTCTACAACAACACTGCCCACATGGTCATCCACACTGTTGATCACAATTACCAGGGAAGATCCAACTGCAATTTCAGACTGAATGGAGAATTGTTGTTTACTGTTGATACTAAACTGAATGTGCAAACAAGTAAGATTTATTAACATTAATGTAATATATTAATACATGAATTGACCAAATAATTTGTTCAGGATTAAATATTCAGGAATATTGTCCTCAATAATACAAAGAAAAGAGTGCACTATACAGGCAAACAATTATCATCAGCATTTTCCCTTTAATGTTTTTTGTTTATTTTTTCCAGACACATATAGTAGACCATTAATACATTTGTTTCGAGAGAGCAGCAACAGCAGTGAGGTGAAGCTGATCTGCAGGTCTATCTCCACATACTACCGCAGAGCCGAATGGACCGTGACCAAATCAACAACATCTGTTACTTTGACTTCATATAATACAGTGTCATTGGACAAGGTCGGAAGAGACCGATTCTCATCTCCTCCGTTCAACGGATATGATTTCCCACTGCATGTCTCACCAGTGACATTTGAGGATGGTGGAATGTTCACATGTTTCTTTGATGGCCATAAATTCGGCTCGGTTAAACTCACAACCATTCGAGGTAACTTTGCTTTTGTCTTTTAACAATGAGAGAGCAGACACTCTGTTCACGTACACTGTTGGTTACTATGACAACCATACACTTTTCATTTAATCATTGAATTATTCAGCTGTTCAGTACATTGTTACAGTATACTGCTCTTTCAGAGGTCAAAGTATAGTACAGGACTATTTTCTGTTCTTTATCTTAGTATCTGAATCTGGAGGGCCCCCTGGTGGCCAGCCGGTTGTGCTGAGGTGTGAGGTGTCGGAGGTGAGCGGTGACCCTGTGACCCTGGCCTGGATGAGGATGGAGGGGAGCAGGGGGCTGCTGGTCAAACAGGACATCCTGACAGAGAGTCACCCCAACAGGACGCTCAGTGTGACCCTGCCCAGCCTCTGCAGAGACCAGCTGCACTGGCAGTGTGTTGTGTTCACAGAGGGCATGCTCAGAGCGACAGCCTCCCTGACCCTCACACTCCCCACAAACACACCAATGTCTTCAATGACAGGTAACAACTTGTTTTGCTGCACTGGCAGTCTGTGGTGTTCACAGGGGGCATGCTCAGAGCAAGCATTCCCCTCAGATTCAGTGATTCTGCTGGAAGATCATGGTTACCAGGGTTCATTACATCAACATCGTCTATGATAGGTAACACACGTCTGTAGATTACATTAAATCCCTCCATCTGAATGATTTGGAATCTATTAAAGATTCAGTTAGAGGACATCATCATAAACAACATACAGTACATCATACAAGTAACCAAATCAATGTCTTTGGATTACCCTTGGGCCCCTGTTAATTTAAACTGTGATGAATTTAGAGTCTTAGCAAATGTAGTCTGCTGTATAGTAAGTACTCAGGTATCTCATATCCCAGCATGTTCTCTCTCATACTCTTTGTTCATGTCTTTTTGGTTACCACAGATGACAACCATCTGCAGACTGTGATCATTGTGGCCTGTACTGCTATGGTTGTTACTGGGGTCCTGGTTGGTGCTCTGGTGTTCTACCTGAAGAGGAAGAAGACAGGTAAAATACACTGATAATGACCACTATTGCTGATCAAACTTGTCGGATTGCTACATCTTAAATTTAGGCCTATGTCAACAATTGTGTGGAAACGTTTTTGCTACGATCTCTTTTTTCAAAGCTGTGACGACCCTAACACTGACCCAGAAGAATGACCCAGTCTACGGTAACATCACAGATCCACAAAGAGACCAAGGTATACCCTTCTTCACTTTGGGTGTAATATGATGTACAATACAGATATAGATATAGATATGGCAGTGGAGGCTCCTCAGAGGAGGAAGGGGAGGACCATCCTACTCAGTGAATTTCATTTTTCTTAAAATAGTGAAACATTAGAAAAGTTATCCTTTTTAGATAAAACGATACTAAATATATTCTCATCACCAAATAACTGATTAAAACACACTGTTTTGCAATGAAGGTCTACAGTAGCCTCAACAGCACTCTTTAAGGTAGCACCATGGTGTAGCCAGAGGACAGCTATTTTACATTGACTTGAATTCAAAACCTAGGAGGCTCATGGTTCTCAACCCCTTCCATAGACTTACACAGTAATTATGACGACTTCCGGAGAACGTCCTCCAACCTATCAGAGCTCTTGCAGCATGAACTGATATGTTGTCCATCCAATCAAAGGATCAGATAATTAATCTAGTACTGAAAGCATAAGCTACCGCCAGCTAGCACTGCAGTGCATACAGTGTGAAGAGTTTTTAGAGAAGCAGCAGTGTGTGAGAGAGAGATAGCTATATTTCATTGTATTTTTTTCTTCTAAGTTTACCTTTTACTTACTTAGCTAGCTGATGCAGCTAATTTAGTCTACTCAACAACCTGACTCAAATAAAGAGGAATGCTATGCTATTTATATTAGCTAGCTGGCTAAGGCTATCCAACACTGCAACTCTTCCAACTCAAGGTAAGCTTTCGGTTTAATTAATTTATTGCCACCGGGCCCGCCGGTGTAACTGCTAAACTGCTTGCTGTACACTGTAGGCCTGCTGCATAATTGTAACCAGCCACTCAGATTTTTTACCAGCCAAAAAAATGTTGGGCTAAAATTACACCAACAAAACAGAAAAAAAAGATGAGCATGTTTTGTAATGTATCTAAAACAATAAATGTATTACTAGTAAGAAGTAATGTGGTATATTTTTGTGACCTCAGTCTTTTAACCAAAATATCACAGATGAGACAAAAATGATCACCTGGCCCTTTAAGGGTGGGAGGTTACCATGGAAACGCGACTCCCAGTCACGTTTGTGCCTGTGAGATTGAGAGTCTGACTAGTATCTGCATTGCTTCTCTTCTCTATAAATTGAAACTCAAACATTGAAAAACAAACTAACTTGTGATCAAAACAATGTAAATAGCCAAGAAACACAAGGACAAAGTCTCACTTCAGTATACTTTGGCTTCAAGTAAATTAGACCAACTTTTATGCCTGTGCGCAGCGCTCCTAAAAATGAATCTTTCACTCAGCTCTTCACGTGAGCGCTGCAGGCTATAGAATTCGTAGTTCAATTAATTTACCAGCTATGAAACAAAATGACAGAAATATTTCGAAAACAGTTACTGCAGCATTTATTTTGCTATAAATGTGATCATACTTGACATTTCATTCACAAATACTAATCTACTTTGGCGGGTGTTAATTTTAGGCCCTGATGATTATGACATTAGCTAATATGGTGACAACAATGTTGGTTGTGGAGCAGTCAGTGGTTATGGTATGAAGATTTGGCTTGGAGAGGTTTATTTCGCCTCGTCACAGACAGCTGTTGTGTTGTGCACTGAAGTCCACAAGTGAACGGAAAAAGTGAAGCCAGAAGGAATTATAAACCAGGTAGTTTGGCACCTAGATATGGATTGGCTGAAAGCCGTGATATATTTAAGCAATAAAGCCCAAGGGGGTGTGGTATATGGCCAATATACCCCAGCTAAGAGCTGTTCTTATGCATGACGCAACGCAGAGTGCTAGGACACAGCCCTTAGCAGTGGTATTGCCGTGGAAATTCTACACATGGACACGCAAAGTCAAACTTAAATGAATCATTGTTTATTAACAGTTAACTGGAGAGGTTCCAACAAACTTGATGCACAATAGTGAACTTCTGTCAGGAGCTCTCTCGGGGCAGTCCCAATATTTATATATTTCTTAATTCCATTATTTTACTTTTAGATTTGTGTTTATTGTTGTGAATTGTTAGATATTACTGCACTGTTGGTGCTAGAAACACAAGCATTTCGCTACACCCGCAATAACATCTGCTAAATACAGTATGATTTGATAGGTTGGAGGACATCCTCCAGAAGGTGGAGAAGGACAAATTCAGACAGCTGATGTTTTGAAAGCGCTGCAAAATCTGGACCCCTACAAATCAGCTGGGCTAGACAATCTGGACCCTTTCTTTCTAAAACTAGCCGCCGAAATTGTCGCAACCCCTATTACTAGTCTGTTCAACCTCTCTTTCATAACGTCTGAGATCCCCAGAGATTGGAAAGCTGCCGCGGTCATCCCCCTCTTCAAAGGGGGTGACACTCTAGATCCAAACTGCTACAGACCTATATCCATCCTGCCCTGCCTTTCGAAAGTATTCGAAAGCCAAGTTAACAAACAGATCATCGACCATTTCGAATACCACCGTACCTTCTCCGCTATGCAATCCGGTTTCCGAGCTGGTCACGGGTGCACTTCAGCCACGCTCAAGGTCCTAAACGATATTATAACCGCGATTGATAATAGACAGTACTGTGCAGCCGTCTTCATCGACCTGGCCAAGGCTTTCGACTCTGTCAACCACCGCATTCTTATTGGCAGACTAAATAGCCTTGGTTTCTCAAATGACTGCCTCGCCTGGTTCACCAACTACTTCTCAGATAGAGTTCAGTGTGTCAAATCGGAGGGCCTGTTGTCTGGACCTATGGCAGTCTCTATGGGGGTGCCACAGGGTTCAATTCTTGGGCCGACACTTTTCTCCGTGTATATCAATGATGTCGCTCTTGCTGCTGGTGACTCTCAGATTCACCTCTACGCAGACGACACCATTTTGTATACATCTGGCCCTTCATTGGACACTGTGTTAACAAACCTCCAAACGAGCTTCAATGCCATACAACAATCCTTCAGTAGCCTTCAACTGCTCTTAAACACTAGTAAAACTAAATGCTTTTCAATCGAACGCTGCTAGCACCCGCCCACCCGACTAGAATCACCACTCTTGACGGGTCTGACCTAGAGTATGTGGACAACTACAAATATCTAGGTGTCTGGTTAGACTGTAAACTCAACTTCCAGACTCACATAAAGAATCTCCAATCCAAAGTTAAATCTAGAATCGGCTTCCTATTTCGCAACAAAGCCTCCTTCACTCATGCTGCCAAACATGCCCTCGTAAAACTGACTATCCTACCGATCCTTGACTTCGGCGATGTCATTTACAAAATAGCCTCCAACACTCTACTCAGCAAATTGGATGTAGTCTATCACAGTGCCATCCGTTTTGTCTCCAAAGCCCCATACACTACCCACCACTGTGACCTGTACGCTCTTGTTGGCTGGTCCTCACTACATGTTCGTCGTCAAACCCACTGGCTCCAGGCCATCTATAAATCACTGCTAGGCAAATCCCCGCCTTATCTTAGCTCATTGGTCACCATAGCAGCATCCACCCGTAGTCTGCGCTCCAGCAGGTATATCTCACTGGTCATTCCCAAAGCCAACACCTCCTTTGGCCGCCATTCCTTCCAGTTCTCTGCTGCCAATGACTGGAACGAATTGCAAAAATCTCTGAAGCTGGAGACTCTTATCTCCCTCAATAACTTTAAGCATCAGTTGTCAGAGCACCTTACCGATCACTGCACCTGCACACAGCCCATCTGAAATTAGCCCACCCAACTACCTCATCCCTATATTGTTATTTATTTTGCTCTTTTGCACCCCAGTATCTCTATTTGCACATAATCTCTTGCACATCTAGCATTCCAGTGTTAATACTATTGTAATTATTCTGCACTATAGCCTATTTATTGCCTTACCTCCATAACTTGCTACATTTGCACACACTGTATATATATTTTCAGTTGTATTTCTGACTTTATGTTTTTTTTTACCCCATATGTAACTCTGTGTTGTTTTTATTGCACTACTTTGCTTTATCTTGGCCAGGTCGCAGTTGTAAATGAGAACCTGTTCTCAACTGGCTTACCTGGTTAAATAAAGGTGAAAAAAAAAAAAAAAAAAAAAAAAAAAGGTGTCATAATTACTGTGTAAGTCTATGGAAGGGGGTGAGAATCATGAGCCTCCAAGGTTTTGTATTGAAGTCAATGTACCCAGAGGAGGACGGAAGCTAGCTGTCCTGGTGCTACCCTACAGAGTGCTGTTGAGGCTACTGTAGACCTTCATTGCAAAACAGTGTGTTTTATCAATTATTTGGTGACGTGATTATATTTAGTACAGTTTTATCTAAAAAGGATAACTTTTTTAATGTAATTTTTTTAAATGAAATTTACTGAGGAGGATGGTCCTCCCCTTCCTCCTCTGAGGAGCCTCCACTAGTACAGTAAGTAGGAGGTTGAGATGACTTTCAAGATGACATTCCGAATGTTCCACAGTACCAACAGATGTATAGGAAGTTACACTAAAGTCACAACTGTCTGATTAACATTTTGGCTTTTTTTTATACTATCAGAGAGCCAGGGGGGTCAAACAGGGGAAGATGAAAATGAGGAAGTTCATTACTCTGAGTTTGCTTCATGTGAACCCAGGCTTGGTGGTGAGTAATGTGCGTGTGGAAATACAGAATGGTTTGTTGAATGTAACTTGTGTTGATGAAGCGTAACTATTTGCATTTCTTTTCTTTTTTTTCAGATCCCAACAGAGTCACAGCAGGGTCAAATCAGGTAAGAATAGCACTTTAGTCAAATTATCATTTTGTTATATATATATTTGTTTTTAACTGGTGTTCATGTCCATACATACAGGAACGTGCTGTGATCTATTCCCCTCTCAACATATAAGGAAACATGACTTTCAGATGGATAAAATTACCATGTTAAGATTCAGGGATTCTATTCCACATTTTGTCACTTACTTAAGGTGTTTATTAGTCTATTGTGAATTTTCACAGAGAAAATATGATCCCACAATACTGATTATGACGTTTTGTTTAAAACGTATGAGATTTGTTCAATTAGCTTATTATGCTGCTTTTGATTTATGTATATAATGATACGGTAATATATGCTTACTAAAACTGCCATGTAAAGACAGCAGGTAGTGCAATTGGAGGGTAAATTGTAGGAAGGCAATTTTGATCTGAAATATTTTGATGGCTGTAACCTATGCAAATAATAATTTTATACATGTGTAGTCCTTCATGCATGTGCATTTTATATGTAAAGTATTTTCATTCGATTTATGTGTTTAAATAAAAATGGTCTTCGTAATTTGATGTCTACTTATTGTATAGGTGAGTGCAGTTGGATATGTTACCAGAAGATGGCACTGTTGGAAAGAATACAGTACATGAGGCTTGAGAGAGGAATAAAGCATTTATTTCAGCCCTCTCTTCCCTTTTCCTTTGCTATCGCTAGTTCCTTTAGGGATTACAGTGAAAAGGTAGCAATTCAATGCTTTTCTCTCCAACACAAAGGTATGTAGGCCCACTAAATGCAATGAATAGACTGCACATCCAGAAGGAATGTCTTTATGCAGAGACAGGTGCAGAGTAGCACCAAAATCCCTCCTGGTGTGTGTGTGTGTGTGCGTGGGTTGGTGTTTGGGTGGGTGGGTTTTTGTGTGCGTGCGTGTATGCACACACACACACACATGCTCGCTTCTGTGCTTGTGTAAGTGTGTGTGCACATGTGGGAGCTATTGAAAAGATCCAAGGTCTCTTGAAATTAAGGCTTTTATACTTGATTTAGAGAGAAAGAATGGGAAACAAAACATGATTTCAATTCACACTGATACATAACAATGGCTTGTGGAGAAAGTGAAGGTTGCAGGTGTTGAGAGGAGAATGAACCAAGGTGAACACATGTTCTGCCTCTCACCATGCATGGGCTCCTTCACTGCAAACCTCTCCTTTGCAATAAACTATACTGTAGAGCCCATGGTCTATCAGGCTGGAGCATTTTCTTTACTGTCTGTGTTAGGACAATACAAGGTAACAATCATAAAAATAAATCTATTGTGGAAAGAATTATTTGTAGAAAACATGGTTTGCGTGTTGAGAAATTAATTGTATTCATGTTCATTATTTTCACTTGATTTGGTATGAATGCTATCCTCCAATAGGGGGCAAGCCAGTACAGTTTTACAGTTTTTTTGTGCACAGTGTGTCTTTGCAACTCTTTGATCGCCTCACTCACACACACATATATCTATACAAAAACACATGCTAACACACACACATACAGACCTATACATCTGAACATGCACATACAAAAATATACACGCACACACACACACCACAGTATTCTGTATAGGGAAGCATACAGAGGTAGGAGAGTGGATGGAAGAATGCATGTCAGTCTGTCTGTCTCCTGTCACCAGTGCAATGTGTTCTCTATTTAAGGCAATGTTTACCCAGCTCTCACCATGCACAGCTGCCTTACAGATTAGCTGCCAGAGACACTCATACCCTTATGCGCTGTGTCTGCATCTCTGTGTCTCACTCCCACTGATACAAGCCAGGGTGTCCAAGGGACCTAAACCCTCACACACAAACTAAGAAGGGCTGCAGAGGATTGTAGAAATAATACTGTGAACATGCACAAGTATACTATAGAAAAGACCATGGTCCTTACCAGTACACTAAAGCACACTATAAACTTACTGAGATGATGCTGGAAAATGATCAGTAGTGCTGATGAGGAGGGGGTATCTGTGACTGGGAAGGGACTCTTTATGTAACAGTGAACCCACTGCAGATAACCTGGTTTCAATACCCGGTTGGTCAAAGAGTGACAAACGCAACAGCAGTCACCACTGAATGACCGTCCTACCGCTGAGTCTTTCAGCCTGTACAGAACCCTAGCTTCCAGGAACAATGCAGTGAGAGTGTCCCTTCGACCGACATCCCGGAAATGAGGTGTGAGAGTGTGAGTGAAGGAGTTGTTCCGGGTACCGAGCAGGAGAGATCCTTCCCTGCCAACTACCAAGTCATTTAGCTCTGCTGTCTGGAGTGGAGGTGTGGTGACCAAACTCAGCGCCTTGCTGATTTGTGTCTGAGTGCCTAAGGAGAAAGGAACATCATGTTTTACTAGAATTACTCTGGCTGCCGCCCAAACGGTACCCTATTCCCTGTGTAGTGCACAGGGCTCTGATCAAAGGTATTGCACTACATAGGGAATAGGGTGCTCTGGTCAAAGGTATTGCACTACATAGGGAATAGAGTGCTCTGGTCAAAAGTAGTGCACTACATAGGAAATAGGGTTCTCTGGTCAAAAGTAGTGCACTACATAGGGAATAGGGTTCTCTGGACATAAGTAGTGCACTACATAGGGAATAGGGTGCCATTTGGGCGGGCACGCTGAGTCATCGTCAAAGTGATACTGTTGTAAAGGAACTGGGCTATATCTCTTATCTCTGTCTTGCTAATTGCCCCACTGGGATGAAGCTGCTGTGTTCTATTGTATTGTATTGTATGATATCTGTGGGCCAGACAGAATGAGTGTAAACATGGATTACTCATTGGGGGTAGTGGGACACAAAGAGCCTCATACAGTAAAATTAGTGTTATTCTCAAGAAGTTAGTCAAATGTGCCATGGGACATAGAGCATTGTGTTATTATTGTGTTATTATCGTGTTAGCGTTGTGTTATTCTGTATAATTAAGTAAAACCCTGCAATGTGGGCTACTGTTGACAGGACGTCCATCATACTGTGGACACACAGGCTTCGTCCCAAAGGGCACCCTATTCCCTCTATAGTGCACTATTTTTGACCAGATTTGTTAACAGTGAGTTGTTAACCCAGTCAGCTCCATTCTCCATTAGCAGGTGAACTAGGAAGTGTCCGGGTTGATGGCCATGTAGGGGCGAGGAGGGGGACCCTACGGACTCCAACACTGCTGTGAGTGTGAAAATATGGTCCCGCTGTCAGTCTATCTAGTGTTCTCTCCTAGAAATGTCTTTGTTATTCTCTTTCTCTCTGCCTCTTCTTCTTCTCTCTCTCTCTCTCTCTCTCTCTCTCTCTCTCTCTCTCTCTCTCTCCCTCTCTCTCATTTTTGTCTCTCTTTCTCTCTCTCTTTCTCTCCCCTATTTTCCTTACGCTCTGTCTCTTTCACAGATACACACACACAATGATACACATCTCTTTCTACAAGAAGTGCAAATCCACTTTCCACATTCAAATTCAGCAAATAGGACACTGATTTTATTTGACGTTATGAGTGTCACAGCCAGTGTAACCAAGACTATGACCATTGAGTGGCTGCATGCTGGTGAGTCATCATTGTACAGTCATTGCCTGTCTTCGCCCCTTTTCACCGTGGTAACTATCAGTCTTTCAGAAACTATCAAACTCAGAAAAATTTCAGAAACTCCCTCATTCTCCCTCTGATGAGTCTGGGTCTGAGCACTTGGACATTACAAAGGTTACCATTCAAGCACTAGCAGATAGGAGGGTTTCACTTGATCTGGGTCACTGCAGTGTTGCCATTGAATCGGACAAAGGATCTCGTCAGTCCAATTTGTGAGTCACTCCAGTCTATCCGTTTCCACTTGTCTTGTTCCAAAGCACTATGTAACCTAGCTACAGTACACTGACTCTGCTCTGAGTAAGCCTCTAGATCTACTGCTGCTCATCTAGCTTCATGGCTTCCATACTACTCCTGATCCTGAGTCAGTATATGTATGGTCTCTGTATTACTGCTCCTTTGTCTCTGTGGCTTCCCATCTCTCTCTATCTTTGCCCCATTTCCTTCGTCGTTCAGCTTCCACATGATATCGGATCACTTATGACAATATGTCAGTTTATTCCTAGGGATTAGGTGAGTCCATAGCCATGGCTACATTTCACTGTGAATAATAACATCTAACATATGACTTATTTAGAATTTCATGCTCCTCTTCCTCAAAATATGGATTTTCCACATTTCTCAATTATGGTTCTAATTTCCCAATTGTGCATGCTTCTGTATATGGGGAATATGAGCTGGGCCAGTGTTACATAAATACACACTGCTTATTGCTGTGTTATCCTGCAATGAGCCTTGTGCTCCAGGAACGATACGATTCCCTGTCCACGTGTGTGATGCAGCTTACCGTTACCGACATCTTGAGAAAAATGCATTTTTAATGTTGCAAGCCGTGCTGCGCTGCATGTGGCAGAAGAAGCGATGTGGCTGTTTGTTGTTAAGTGTTACGGCCTATTATGTGTCATTATGCTTATGTCTCTCTCTTTCCCCATCAATCGGTCTGTGCCTTCCTCTCCTCTCCTCTCCTCTCCTCTCCTCTCCTCTCCTCTCCTCTCCTCTCCTCTCCTCTCCTCTCCTCTCCTCTCCTCTCCTCTCCTCTCCTCTCCTCTCCTCTCCTCTCCTCTCCTCTCCTCTCCTCTCCTTCTTCCTGAGTCCCTAGGGGCCTACAGAGGCCCAACCTCTCATCAATCCACCCCTCTTTCCCCTCCTCCTCCAGGTCCCCCCATCAGCCCGACAGCATAGGGATTGATCATTCCTTTTGTCTCATCCTCCTCTCTCTCTCTCTCTCTCTCTCTCTCTCTCCATCCTCTCATCCATCCTCTCATCTCCCTGTCTCTCTTCCTGACAAATGCCCCCACTCTCATTCTTTCCCTCTGCCCCTGTCTCTCTCTGCCTGTAACTCTCTCTCTCCTTCCATGTCTCAGTATCTTCATCCCTACCCCTCTCTCTCTGCATCCCTCTTTCCCTCCATCATTCTCTCTCCCCCTCTTTCTCCCTGTCTCTCCACCCCCTCTCTTTCTTTCTCTCTTTCTCTCCATCTCTATCTCCTCTCTCTCTCTGTCTCTCTCTGTCTCTTTATCTCCCCATCTCTTTCTCTCTGTATCTCTATATCCTGTTCTCCATAATGGGTTTTCTGTGGCAGTCCAGCCCCTGTTGCTGCTGAAGGGAATAAAGCAGCAGTAGATGTGGTATGTGGAAATGACTGAGAATTGATTTTCTCTGTGACTCGAGCACAGCCAGCTATTAAGCAGGAACAGGATCTCTCATTAACATGAAACTGAGGAAGTTAATGTTGTGATTGCCCAGGGTGAGGAGGCATATGCCAGGGATCCGCTTTCTCTGATTGGAGAACAGAGATGGGGTGTGTGAGTGGGGGGCTGTGGAATGAGTGTGCCGGGGTGTTTTTGTGGGT